AACTCTCCTGTTCTCTAGTGGCTGTGGCCTTTTCCCAGCTCACAGTTCCAGTGAAGTGGGGGCAGGTGGGCAGCATCATGCCCCGAGATGGAATTCAGCTGTCAGAACTGGTTCCATCCTGGGAGGCATCCAGGCTCCTCAGTGAACTCTGGGCTGTTTCTCTCACACATAGGTATGTAAAACACCCTGCGGCCACCTTTGCACCAAAACCACAGGCCACTTTTTAAAAAAATATTGCCCTGTCACATCCTGTTTGTTTTCTTTTCACCAGGGCAAACATTCCATTTGCCCAGCAGATCAGCCACATGTAGGTGTCCAGAGGGACAAGACAACAGAACTAGGCTGGAGAGGAGCCCATCAAGGAGAACTTAAGAGCCCTTGGGAACTTCACTTTAATGAGCTAACTAGGTAATTAATGCCCTCTCAGGAGCAAGGGTGTCTAATAACAGCATAAGCAGCAAGAGGCAGGGCCATGGTGGAAGGGTGGGGTAGAGAGAAAGGTAGGGAGGAGACTGCTTGTGGGACAGATTCATGATAATAAGGGTGAGTTGGCCTGGTTTTTTCCCCCCATTCAGAAAAGGGATTTAAAAAACAAAGTTAGCTGCATCTTTCCACACACCTGGAGTTTGTATCATTCTGTCCTGGGCAGTGGAAGGAATTGAAACACTCTCTATTATAGAGGCAGCTGGTAGGATCCTTGCCAGTTACAGGTAAAACTGCTACTGAATCTGTGATTACTGGCATTAGACTGTAAACTCTTTGGGGGCAGTGGCTGTCTTTTTGGTCTATGTTTGTACAGTGCCTAGTACCATGGGGTCCTGGTCCCTGACTAGGACTCCTAGAGGCTACCATTATACAAATAATGTCAGCTCTGCTGTAGCCAGAGTTAGGAAATCTGAGGCCGTGATGGAAATAGCCCAAATGTATGTGGCTCAGTGATAGCAAAAACGATGGTCTGTTTCTCACGTTATTTGAATTTGACTTGCTGTTACACTCCACATCTACATAAACCCTGCCCTCAGTCATGTTAACTGCTATGCTTTCTTGGCATGCATTCCAGAGTCCCCAGTGCTGCTTCAAACTGTGGGTCATTATGACTGCAATAAACCCTTTGTGGGGATGGGAGGAAGAGGGCAAAGGCTAACAGAGGTCCTCTCCTTTAACAGCACTATGTGGCTTAACTGCTTGCGAGTCTCACTGCCAGATAACTTGTATGAGTGAGCCACCCCTGAAGCTGGTCCTCCATTTGAATTCATCACCAGCTGGAGAGCTGGTATTGGGAGGATGGCTTTCCATATGGAGTTGATGATTTGAAGCTAGACACTCCCCATGAGGCACACTTAGCAGGAAGAGATGGCACAGGTGTGCCAATTCACCAGGTGGGGCCCCATGGTTTCTTGACCACTGCAACGCTCAGTGGTATACAGCCAATATAGTCCAGCCGCACACGCACAGGATGGTGGCACTGTATATCACAGGAGCAACAGTAGCCACAGACCTTAGGCAGCAGTAAGGGCATGTTTCTTGCCTTACCCATGCTTGGGATTAACCCTGAATCATCCAGCGTGGCAGCAAGCAGTCGTACTAACCCTGAACATACAGAAGGAAAGCTACGATTTGCACCACTTGAGCTAACCCAGGTTTCAAGCTGGGGTAAATTTGACCAGAGCAAGCTGTTGCTTTTTCTTGTCATCTAACTAGAGAGGTTTTTGCTTTGGTGTAGCTACACCCATTGTTGCCCACTGAGGGCTGAATCATGGCTAATCCCAAACATGGAGAAGGCCAGAATCACTTTTGAAAGTCTGACTAATTAAGCAGAGCCACCTTGATCACACAGGGTAAGAGAGGGTAGGAGGTAAAGCCTCTTTTGATTTGCAAATCACCTGCAGTCACTTTTCTAAGTACATCAACCCCCTGCCATACATCTGCCAGCACAAACCAAGAGCCCTAGGGGGAATATTTGTTCTTCCCCCTTCCCTAAATGAGGCGACAGCTGTTCCCAGGGACTGACTGGCTGAAATCGGGTGGTTGAGGGGATAAGACCCACAGGCAGCCTTCATTAATCATTACTTAAAAAAAAAAAATTAAGACAAGTGTGTAAATGCATGAGGGCAGCAGCTGTGGGATCAGCACGTCCCATTTAGCACAGTACCTGGTGTCTCCTCACAATGAAATATGGGGCTGTTTGTTTAGCATCCTGCTAAGTACCCTCCCTGTAAGGCACTTGTCCTCTGAGGCACTAGAAATAATATTAAAGAGTTTCTGTGCTGAGCTGGGCAAAGAGGAGAAACAGCATTTCCCCAGCTCTGTCACGCCCAGGCTGAAATAGCGTTTTTTCACAGCACAACATGGATCTGTCTCTCACCTGGAGGTTCCTTCAATTTCTAAGAACCCTACCTATTATCTGACTTCCACTTCCCCTTCTTTCTACCAAAGGCAAAGTGGCAGTGTTTGTCTAGCAGCCAGTGTGGATTTTCCATACACAGCCCAGCTCCTCCTGTCTCATACAGGGACAGAGTTTTCTCATCCCAGAGTTGAAATGTAAGCAGTCAGAGATCCAATTAGTCCACATGACCCTAAATGGCAGAGCTAGCATTAATCAGCTCAGCAAGAACTACAGGGGAAGGGGAATTCTACCCCTTTGGGCTCATCTGCACAGGAAAGTTATATTAACTAATGCTCTGAGTAGACAGCTGTTTTTAACCTGGGGTTAGTTGTCTGGGAATAACCCTCAGGTCAGGTCAGCCCTGATCAGCTGGCAGTTAAACCCACCCACCCCTCTCTACATAGTAAGGTTAGTGTTTAACCTATGTTTATCAGGTTAGATAATGTGGTTTTGAACACGATTAATTTTCTAGTGTAGACAAGCCCTGTTCGGCTGGGCCAGCTCCATCTCAAACCACCTCTGGGGCCGTACTTTGCCTCTCTTGTCCCATTGGCACAAGTGCTAGGCCTCATCTATATTCTAAAATCACCCCCATTCAGCGTTGTAAATTGTTGTAATTCAGTGCCTGCAGCGTTGTAAAGGGCACTCAGAGTAATGGGCTCTGTTAATGCTAACCAATTTGCCCCTGCCTGCACCCATGCAGCTATGCCTATCGCTATCGTAGGGCTACTCCCCACTATATGACAAGGACCGTACTAGGCTACTAGCAAAGACCTCTTATCTCAGTGGCAAGGCAGGAGGGTTTGCGACAGCATGTATTGTGGTTCCAGTTGTAAATATCAAACACCAAGGCTCAGGCTCCTAAGGTCAATGAGCACAGACTGCACCTTGTTCCAGTGTGTTCCGCCTCCTTTGTTGCATTTCAGTCCCTTACTCCTCATTCACGTTTATCCTCCTTCCACTGCTCCTGCGCGCTTCGTAACATTGTTAACACGCTGCTGCATGAGAAGATCAACTGAGTTTCCTTTTAACCCACACAACCCTGGTATTTTCTTGGTACCCAGTACCTTGTGCCCACTGGGGTGTGCCCAGACAGACAAACTAAATGGAATCATCTCTGGTCCCCTGGCTACACTAGAACACAGAACACTAGGACCCTAATGAGGCAAGAGTTTGGTCTACAATTAAAAGTTGGCATAGCTAGAGCTGTTGGGCTTCATTCAAAACATCACCCTCCCACAAATGTTTTTACACACAGTGTTTGCTTTTTGGGTGCCCCGTTACATCTTATTTCCTACTCATGTTTCTAATCCTCTTGAGCAGTAACTGCTCAAATGACTGTCTAGTAAGCTCAAAAGTTGGTTCAATAGGATACCTCCTTCACCTTGCCTAAGTGTAGAGTCAGTCCATTAATCCAGCGTTTGTTGTTAAGCACATGCCCTCACTCAGCAAACGCTGCAGGAATCCCCTCACCAAACAAATCTTTGAGTCAAGCTAGAAGCTTCTGAGGAATGTAATGAAAGTGGGAGGGGGGAGGAGAAGGAAGGGGAAGAGCACAGAAGCTGGGAATAGGCTCCCAGGGATGGATCACTTGATTACCTCTTCTGTTCATTCCCTCCGGGGCACCTGGCATTGGCCACAGTCAGAAGACAGGATACTGGGCTAGATGGACCTTTGGTCTGATCCAGTAGGTCTGTTCTTATGTAAAGAGGAATCTGCTAGGGCAGAGGGTTAGTGCATCAGGTCTGGGAAATGGAGGAGCAGAGAGGTGCACAGGGCTGATTTGAAGACACAGGACTAACCTTCCTGTCCATGGCAGACAAGGATTAGTCTCACTCCAGAACCCCTAACTAGTCTCTACAGCAGGCAGGATGATCAGCTGTCACCCTGCAAGAGTAGAGCTTGATTTACTCAAGCAAACTTCCAGCTTCCAGCCAGCTTATGCTGAAGTAATAGCCTGATGGGGAAGAAGATTCCCCCTTCCCTAAGTTTTGGGCAAGGCAGTATGGGCCAGTGGAGGAGATCAGGGTTCTGTGACCAGCTCAGACACTAAATGGCCTTTACAAGATGTACATACAGCACCTAGCACAACCAGGCTCCTTCCAGAACTCCAGGGCTTTCAGCTACTACAAATTAGTTTTTCCTGCGTATGGAAGTGACTGCTCTTTACCTATCCACCCCAGATTCCATCAGTACTTGAGTGCTAAGCCCATCCTCAGATGCCAAGAACTGAACAGCCCAGAGAATAAACTACTGCCAAGCCTATCTGGGCTTCCTTCAGATAAAAAGCAGAAGTTGTAGGGAAGATTTGAGTCTGTTAGGGGAAGCGCCCTCTTTCCTTGAGCCCCCGTAGCCTTTATTTATTAAGGTTAGTATTCAGTGTCTGCTTGCTGCAGCTTTTGGAGTAGATTCACTTACAGTCCACAAGCTCAGCCTTGCCTAGAAATTCCAGGGGCTATTACATAGCACCACAGAATTAGTGCTATCCAGCATTTGAGACGAGAGCACCACACTGTGGTCATTACTGGGATAGCATCAGACCCAACCCAGTACCTGCAAGCAGTTGGGGACAGAGACATGCAAAGTTTGAGTCGTAAGTAAAACTGATTTTATTTTGGAGTCTGAGAAAGGTTTGCCCAGTGCACTGCAGAGCATGTGTATGGCACAGACACGGGGTATTTCATAACCAGAAAAGTTAGAGAGTTAAAAACTTGGCAAGAAGGACTGAGTCCACTGGCCCCCAACTTCATTCACCCCCAACAAGGCCTGAGGAACCTCAGAACACTGGGGTAAGCAGCATTTGACCAATTAGCGCCTCAGTGGATGCCATACAAGCTAAAAGTGTTGAGACCAGTGCCAGTGAACCCTTTCTTCCCCCAGACTGCATGCTGTGCCCATTCATTTAGATCCACCCATAAGTGTCCACAAGCTGGCAAAGGGCTCCCCCACATTGCATGCCTTTCTGGTCAGGTCATTATTAGGGTGTGTGTTTGTTTGTTTAAAGTTTGTTAAAAGTTGTCTAAATATTTAGTAGGAAAAGTCAAGTAAATACTACAGAGTACAAGATTCTAACAGTCAGTCATGTCCTTATCAAGTTCTGCACCACTTCTTGCTCGGTGTTTGTACTAGACAGTTAACACCCTCCCCCAGACCCCCTAGTAGGTCTTAGAACCAGCATGAACTGCTGCTTCTTGGAGCTGCTCTTGGTGCATTTTTATTGCAGTCATACAAGGAGGGTTCAAGAGCACAGGGTTGGTCTGCTTGGAGTCAGAGGAGTCAGCAGGGCCAGCCTCCATGAACAGATCTGGCAGAGCTGTTGAGGGCACCTCCTCAAAGCCAGCAGGAACTGGAGGCTCTATTGCTCCTGGCAGTGGGAGGGCAGCTGTAGCAATAGCTGGGCTATCCTGTAGGGGGCTTTGGTCCCTGGAAAAATTCATCCCAACTCCTCCCTCCAGCTTCATTTCTGCCCCTGCAGGCAAGCTCCTCACCAGAGGCCCAATGGAACTAGCTGGAGGCATCTTCTCTCCCTCACCAAGGTCTCCACCCTCAGGAACCATCTTTGTTTCTATCTCAGTGGCAACAGGGCACAGAGGTGGCGGCTTCTCTGTGGCTCCTGGAAGACCCAGGTCTCTAGTAGTTGGCTCAGCAGACAGGGCTTGGCTGGCATTTGATTTCAAAACCATGGCATTGTCCATGCAGGAGGCAGATATGGCGTTTATGTTCTGACCTGTGCCCCTGACAAGCAGATCTTCCACAGAAGAGCTGGTTTCTGATGGGTAAGAGGCATCAAGGGGTGCTAAAGACAGATGTTTGCAGCTGGCAAGGTCAGTCTTCAGAGCACCACACTGAGTAGTGATTAGTCTCCCCAGAAACCTGGTCACCAAGGCCAAGAGGCTGGGCCACCTCACTTGCTCGGCATGCACTCAGCTCCCCCTCACACATCTCACCTGCTGCTACAGTTTCTGCCTCTTTCATCCTTCATATTCTCTTTCCCCACAGCCAGTGGGTTCTTGCTACTTGGAGACCCACTGCAGTCAGTTGCTTCAGAGTCCTTTGGGATTTGAGTAGTAGTTCCCAACTCCAGGCCAGTTAGAGAGCCACAAGGGATCTCCTCAAGGTTGTCCCCTTCCTCTAGCAGGGTGATAGCTGGAAGGGGACTAGTAGCGCTCCTTGCGTCATCTTCAGAGCTTCTGCGGGATCTTCCCTTTCCCTAGAGTTCAACACAGGGCTCACATCAGTTCTGTAATATGCCAGTTTGAAAGGGGAGGAAGCAGTTCTATGGTGTTAGGTGGAAGCATTGAACCAGATGAGAGAAAAAAATCTCCCAATGTTGAGATTTTAGCTGACAATCCTGCAGGTGCTCCTGCACCTTTGAGTCCCCTGTTGGGCCCTGCTAGGTGTGGCATTTCAGTCTGCTGCTCCCAGACAGCTTTGGATTGATTGGGAACTTCACTAAGCATGCAAGACAGAAGAGGGTCACCAGGGAGAGAGATTTAGAGGCACAAAGGGCAGTTAAGGTGCCCAGCTCCCACATGGGCCTTGGAAGGTCTCCCCGTAAGCAGTTGGAGACACAAGAAGCCAGCCAGTTGAATTCATTTTTGGAGCAGAAGAGTAGGCTATAGTTAAGGCACCCAGACTAGAGATTTGGATTTATTCCCAATTCTGCCAAACTCCTTGTAGTCTTCCAACCTCCGTCTGTGCAATGGAGATGGATTGAAAGAAAGGCGAGAGGAAGGGAAGTACTATTTAAGTTGCCAGCTTTTTGAGGCAAGGACCATCTCTTCCTGTACGTCTGTCCATGTCCAGTAACAAAGGACCCTGGTCTCAGGTCAGGAACTCTAGACATCTGTAGAGGCCACCAGCCCTTCCAATCCTAACACCTTCAAAAGACAGTGGGCTTTCATACCCCAGAGAAGGTTCTCAGAGCTGGCCAAAAGAATTCTGGAATGGGTGAAGACTGGAAGAAAGTGCTACAGCTTAAACATTATGGAAAGATTTCCTGCAAAATAGGATCATCATCTTTTTAGTGAGCTCCAATCTTCTAGCCCCCATCCATCCTATGGCCCTTTGCTTGCAGATACCATGGTTGCTTTTAATTTTGTTCAAGGAGAAACCTACAACAGGAACATACCACACTGCACAATTGTAGGCTAGTTCTAGTCTTTTAGAAGAGTGCTCACCTACAGGTAGCCAAGTTGCTAGAGATTCAGCAGCTAGAGCTAGCCAGGAAAGGGTCCAAGCTCACCCTTTGGAGGAACTGGAAAAGGACAGTGGGAGCAGGACCGACGTGTGCACAGAGATAGAACAGCAGGCATTACAGGAGGCCACTTCGCTCTTCCTGAGAGCAACTCACCTCCTGCTAGATACACTGAGCTCGGCATTCTAGAAGCTGGCTGTGGTTGCAAGGAAAGCGTCCAGCAAGTTAAATTCCATCCACATTAGCAGCTACATGTAAATCATGAGCACTTTGTTGCCATGCAAGCTTTTGGTTTACCTCTGTGGGCCGCTGCCATCCTCTCTGTAAGCCTGAGAAGCACAGACACCACTAGAAGTCCCACAGCTAGAGACTACGAGGGGGCTCTCAAGGGGTTGAAGAGTCTGGCTTGAAGAGGGCATGTTGCTCAAGGAATCCAGAGGGCCATCTGCAAGCAGAAACAAAAAGGTTCTTAATACCTGCTTCAGACATGGACAGTGGGATGCCTTAGCCATTGTTCATGTGTTCTCCACTGGGATCTGTGCCTCAGACTTGCTTTTGGCCATTCACATCCTGTTGTTCATACCTGTTTCAGAGCAGTTTTTGCTCCCTTTCTTGACCAAGGGCTTCTCCTGCTCATATTCTGAAGATGCAGCCTCTTCCACTTGGAACATCCTGCCCTTTGGAAGAGGAGGAAAACCGATCAGGGAGAGTTCAGTGCCAGGCACAATCACTACCAGTTACTGCAGCTAGCAGGGAGATTTAGTTACCTCCCTTCACCCAGGGATCTCCTTCCCTTAACACCCTCCAATCTTACTGCTTTATCCTCATTTAGCAAATCAGCCTCTTCAGGAAATCCCTTAACAGACCTGTTAAATGGCACCATTTCCCTGGTAAGGTCTGTCTAGAATGCAGCAGTTAAGCACCCTAGGGTGCTACAACTAAGGTTGCTCCAGACCTTACTTCCCTGGACATGTGCATCGGTCTCAGGGAGACCCCATGGCAGATTGTATCCAGCACTTCCTTCATGCTGTTCTGCTTGGACAAGGCATGTTCATCTGCAGGATGAAAAGGTGCAGTTAGACATGAGCCTTTGAGAGCTCTCTTGGAAGGTGACTCAGGGAAAGCGTAGCCTCCAATTCAGAGAGGTAAGGACCAGAGTACAGGGGTCAGAGCTGCTTCCCACAGCACCTCCAATCCAGTTTTGGAGACGCCATTTCATCCTTCCCTCCCAGGAGGGAGACAGGGTAGGCTCATTCAGTTGGGCCAGGCCACGTGTGCCCAATTCAGATTCAGGATAGTTACATGTAGCACTGACAAAGTCTCCTCCCCCCAGCCTCAATGCCCTAGCTGGTGAGAGCTAGCACAGGCTGGTGCCACACATACCACAGGGGGCAGGTCCCTTCTTCGGTGGAGTCTGTGCAGCTGGCTTCACTGCTGACTTCTTGTGCGTTTTAGAGAGGAGGAGTCTGGAGAGAGAAAGAAAAGCAACTGTGTCATGTCTGAGCCCCTCATTCACGGTTCCCCTCCCACTGTCATCCCATATGGGTCCAGCAGCAATGCAGCATGGGACCAATGCTACAGCACCGTCAAGGCAGATGGTGGAGGAGGCAAGGAGAAAAGCTATTTCTAGATCCCTCTGTGCGCTGGCTCGGAGCTCAGGTCTCTGCCAGGGTAGAGGTATTCCAGTGATGTCGAGACCTTAGCACCACCTTCAGCCAGGGCCAACCGCTGAGTAGCTGCTGCTACCAGGAAAAAAAGATTAACTCAGATCTTCGGTGAATGAAAGGTAAAGGCCAGACCCAGAAGGGTCTGAAGGAGGGGAGATAGGACCTGTCCAGCAGGTACGCAATTATACAGCAGGATCTGTTCTCTCAGCTTCACAGCCCTGTTGCTTTTAAAGCCACCTTCATCCCACAACCAAATCTGGTACCACAACCATCAGAGCACTACCGCTACACACACAGCTCATGCCACCGCATCACAGCTGAGTGCTCACAGGAATGACCAGATGTCTCTAAGTGTCCCAACTCCTAAATCTCCCTTTCTGGATTTATCTTCCCTGCAGAGTTAGCGCGAGTGTTACTCCTAACTTCACGGACATGCTCCAGCCAAGAACGATGGTGTTTCTACCTGGAGCTGGCTGGTCCAGTTGGGTGAGCAGCACTTACCAGTTGCGACTGGGACCACTTGAGTGGTGCTAGTCTGTAACCACACGAGTCACAAGGCACTGCAGGACAATTCCCCCACCCTGGGCGCCCAGAAGAGGACAGACTCTCTCTCCCCCACAACTCTTAGAGAATTCATGGAGCAGCTCAGCCTCCTGCAGCACTAGAACCAGGGGTTGTGCCCCTAGAAGTCTTAAGGCCACAAGCAAGTGGCATTGCCAGCGTGACAGGTTTCAGAGTAACAGCCGTGTCAGTCTGTATTCGCAAAAAGAAAAGGAGGACTTGTAGCCCACGAAAGCTTATGCTCAAATAAATTGGTTAGTCTCTAAGGTGCCACAAGTCCTCCTGTTCTTATTGCCAGTGTGGTCATTATAGTCCCAACCAGAATTCCTCTTGGCTGTACTCCCACAGTAGGCCTAGGAGTTCTTGAAGAAAGCTATTTCCCCCTCACCAGAGCAAGGTCTGAGGGTGGTACATCATGAAAAAGCCTGTTCTGCTTTTGAAGTCATTAGTTAGGGAACATCTTGCAATGCTGATAGAGCCCAGATGGCACAATACCCTTCCCCAAGAGGGCTTAGGAACCCTGGACTGTGACTATGTTAGCACCCCCAAGGCAGTGATCCAGCCAGGATGGGGACTTCTCAAGTCCCAACATTATCAGCTACACAAGGGACCTGAATGGAGTTTGGCAAAATATGTCCGTTTTTCAAGTGGAATAATTCAGATTTTGCAACACTGACAGAATTTAGAATTTTCTCTTCTTCTTTTTAAGCAAAACCACCACAAGGTTCTGGAAAAAAAAAATCTAAGTGTTTGTTTTTCAGTTTTGAGTGACTGTTTCAGAACTCTATTTTATCAGAGGAGTTTAAAGATGGCAGAAGTCAAAAAACCTCAAACATTGCAGAACAAAGTTCAGTGTTTTAAATTAGCTCAAAGTTTTGGTTCAACTCAAAACCAACTTTTTAGTTCACTGGCAAATCCAAAGAGTCAGTTCTTTGCAGAGTTGTAGGGCTGAAGCCTGGTTGCAAGGTGCGATTTGGAGTTCCCCTGTTACTCCTGACACCTGTTTAGTCATCCCAGCCCCACAGCCTAGTTTATCTCTAGGGTTTGAATTTGTTGTAGAGTTGCCCGTCTATACCCATCCCTTCATAATAATGAGAGAGTTGCCACACATCTTACCTGATGGAAGAAAGTTGAAGGGGATGGTGGAAGAGACTGAGGAGCAGTAGCCAATGGAGCTAGGGTGGTTGGAGAGGGACACTCAGCCTGCAGGCGCTTCTGCAGAATAGCAACTACAGAGGGGGAGAGGGAAAGAGGCATTGTTCCATTTAGTGTCAATGTTGGCATCAGCACATGACAATGCTGGACAGTGGTTACACCAAGGGCATGACAGTTAAGTACCCTGGATACAAGTCCCTTGACTTGCCTCCCAGGTGTGTAAGAAGAGGGGGAGATTCACCCATTTCTGAAATGCTTTGAGCTTCCATGTATAGGTGTTTGGGATGGTCAGGGCTGTCTCCCTGCTTCCACCCCCAGATGGACAGCAAGTTTTGAGCAGCCTTTGTTCCTGGCCACATCCTAGCCTCCTTTCCCACAAGGGAGTATTGCTGAGAGCCTGGAATCAGCCATATACGTGGTGCAAAGAGCTGCACACATCCCTACACCTCCCCTGTATCACACACAGGGTCCTTACTCTCCCTTTTGAGGTCCTGGATGTTCTCCTCAGCCCTCAGAGCTCTGCACTTCAGGTCCTGCTTCTCCAGTAGGGAGCGCTCCAGGTGCAACTGCAGCTTCTCACCCAGGCTGGGCTGGACAGAGTTACGCCATTCCACCTGCACAGCGCGAGGGGGTCTGGGAGAAAGTAGATCAGTCACCAGAAACCAGACCTCCCCAATGCTCCCATGAGAGCCATTGAGTGTCTGCCTACCTCTGGGCATATGAGGCGCTCCAGCTCATTCACGCGGCAGGACAGCTGTCTGGTCCACGACTGAGAACATTTCAGTTCCTCCTCGAGCTCTGAATTGAAAGATGCCAAGTCACTGAAGACACTGTCCACATTTCCCCAGCACTCTCCATTAATGGACTTACTTACTTTTGATTGTACACTCCAGCATGCAATGAAATTCTGCCACCTCTAGAACAGAACATGGCAGCAGTTTATATCACAGCAGCAGTGTTAGTCAGGAAGTGAGGATTAGTACCTCTCACACTGCAGGGGGAGATTTAAGTAGAGATATCTAGTTGGGCCAAGACACTAGCAAAGTGGTCAGTGCCTTGTCTTCACGTCACAGAAAGATGCTACCTTGTATCGTGCCACATGCCCCGTTGTGGAGCCATGGGGCATTCAGGCCAGTATTAGCACTCAAGTCACTGCAGAAGACTGGAACGCTTGCACACAGGAAGAGTTTCCTGCAGCACATGCTCCAAGCCTGCGCTTCACCCCCCCCCCCCCCCTTGGAACTGATCTTACCATGAATGCACTGGAGATAAAGTCGTTCAGCATTTTGATTTGGTGTTTCTCTGCTCTGAGGCTCTGCCTGGGCAGGAGGAAGAGGACTGTCATGCTGGGGACTCGCACTAGTCTGGAGTGGAGCCTGGCAAAGTGTTTATTTGTATGACCGTAGCTCCTGAAAGCACCCCCCAAGTCCCATTGTGAAAACTGTTTTACAGAGGCCTGACCTACTGAGTTGTTCCATTAGAACTAGTGTTATTGTATTCAGATTTAGTTAGACCGATGCAATAGAACCAGTCTGAAACAAAGACAAGGCATTCGCTTAGATCGGTACATTTGCTGATACAAGCTAAACCAACAGAATGAGTTTGAAACAAGGGAGATCAGGCTCCAGTCTAATTAAAATCAGAGTTAAACCCGGGTAACTGTATTTAGACAAGACCAGCTATACAGCAAGAGAAGCCCCAGCCCTGAAGAGCCTACAATCTAAGTAGACAAGCTAGATACAGGATGGGAGGGGAATAGGGTGACCAAGTGTCCTGATTTCCTAGGGCCAGTCCTGATATTTGGAGCTTTGTCTTATATAGGTGCCTATTACCCCCCCCCCCAACCCCTGTCCTGATTTCTCACACTTGCTGTCTGGTTACCCGAGAGGAGAAGAGACTTACCCAAGGTCACAAAGCAGGCCAGTGATAGAGATGGGCATAAGATCTAGGTCTCCTGACTCCCAGCCCAGCATTTTAGCATCCAACCTAAAGCTTCCATGGACCTTTTCCCTGGTGTGCAATGTAAGGTGTGGCAGTGAAAGCTGGTTGTATTTGCACAACAGAAATAACGTAATACCCATCTGATATAGTGCCCACCACCACATCTCAAGGCGAGGCATATATCACAATCCCCATTTTACAGATGGGAAAACAGAGGGGTGAGAAGTGACTTGCTCAAAGTCAAGCTGGTCAGTGGCAGAGCCAGGACCAAGTCTCCTGACTCCCAGTCCAGCACTCAGCCCTTCAGGCTATACTACTGTCTCCCGTGCACTAGATTCAATCCCAGCTACCCTGCAAGGTGGACTTAACCATCTTGGGAAGCTACAATTGCTATAATAGCATGTGTGCCAGAAGGTGGGATACTTCGTCGCATAGCCAGGATTATGGAACATTTACACTAGTGAATAGCAGTCTCAGGAAATAGAATCCCTGCATAGTCATGGCTAAATACAGCCAGTACCCATCAGATCAGAGTATGAAAAGGGTCCTAACTGGAAAAAATTCAAGAATGCAGAGGACAGAGAAAACACCCTGCTCTTTTTCACAGCCAAGGCCATTTTGTATCTCTAGAAAATCCAAAAATACAGAGATCCCATCCCTGCAGTATCGGTGTGGAGGATCATTAACCAAAGAGCCTAGCCTAGAAAAAAGGAGGAGGGGAGATCAGGGACTGCAAAGTGTTTGTTTTAACATCAACCTGATGATTTTTGCATTTAAAAGGACACTGGTAAGGCTTTGACATTAACACCTCACTGAAGCTAGCAGTTATGTAGTCCCCACTCCACTTGCTAGTGACAGGTTTCAGAGTAGCAGCCCTGTTAGTCTGTATTCGCAAAAAGAAAAGGAGGACTTGTGGCACCTTAGAGACTAACCAATTTATTTGAGCATAAAAGCTTTCGTGAGTATCCGATGAAGTGAGCTGTAGCTCACGAAAGCTTAACCAATTTATTTGAGCATAAGCTTTCATGAGCTACAGCTCACTTCATCGGATGCTCATGAAAGCTTTTATGCTCAAATAAATTGGTTAGTCTCTAAGGTGCCACAAGTCCTCCTTTTCTTTTTGCGAATACAGACTAACAGGGCTGCTACTCTGAAATTTGAAGTTTGTGTGGATCCTGTGGTTCAGACCTGACCCAGCCTTTCCAGGTGAGCATTGTGTTGGCTGATTATACTGAAGGGGCTTTCCTAGACTCCAGACTGAATGGCTATTTCACGTTTTATTAATAGCTATAGCACTTACTATTGTCAAGTAATATCTCCAACAGGAAGGTTGCTCACCACAACCTCCCACCTTTTGGGATTGCAACAGATCTTAAGACTTCCACCCTCCTTTGGGTATCAAGCCATCTGGCGATGTTTCTGAGGCAGCTGGCTTACTACCTAGTTAGTTCTATTATCTTCTGGCAAAACTCAGCTTGTCATGCCAATGGGCTCATTGAATTGAAATTAATGCTATCCTCAGAATACCCATCTGACAGAGAAATAAAGTTTCCCCTCTTCTGTAAAACAGAAGAGGGATTAAGTGATTTGTCCAAGGTCAAACAGGGGATCTGTGGCATAGCTAGAAACAGGGTCCAAGTCTCAGAGGTTCCAGTCAGTCTTAACCACAGAGATCAATCAAAATCTTCTCCCAACATGGGCACTTAAGTTCCCCTTGTTTCCCCGCACACCTCACCCCAGAATATTTCAGCCAGAGCAAAGCAATTTGGCAACAAATTGGAGATAAGAAGCTTCCTTTCTCAAGTACAAAAGGAAACTGTCCACACTGAGGGCTAGACAACAATCAAGGAATAGCACTTGACCAAGCATACAGCAAATATGAATCTCATTGTTTAGAGAGAGCAATCTTTACTACAGTTAATTGTATGTGAATTGAATTGAATGTGTACAGGAATTGAATGTGAATTGCCATAATTCACTACCTAAGCCTGGGGCTAGTTACAGTTTGTTTTCACATCAGGTGAAAACTCTGGTGTCTGCTACAGAAAAGTTAGTTTTGGGAGAGTGTCTGCAGCAGGGTGACCAGATGTCCAGATTTTATAGGGACAGTCCCAATATTTGGGGCTTTTTCTTATATAGGCTCCTATTACCCCCCCACTCTCTGTCCCGATTTTTCACACTTGCTATATGGTCACCCTACTTTGCAGTACTATAGATTCTTCTACACTCACCAACTCAAGAGGAGGCATTCCATCTGACAGAGAACAGGTTTTCAAAGCTGAATGTGGGTACCTAGCACAGTAGCTAACAGGCACTAGGGAACCCATGTGTCTAAGGCAGGCTTAAGCCCCCCAGATTTATATGAATTCACAAGAGCTCTTCCAGTCAATACACAGGCTGCTTCAGTGTTGTTAAGTGGCTAGTCTAAGCAAATGCACTCAGTCTAAAATAGTCTGCAACTGCCCCAAGAGCTATTACACATGGCTAGAAGGGGTTATTTTGAGCCTTACCACCCCATCCTCTGAACACTCAGGGCCATCAGACACACACAGTGGAGACTGCTGCTTCTTCTGAGGCTCTAATAACCATCTAAAGAGAAGAGATAGTAACAGTTTCCCCACACACACTTCCACAGATATGGATACAGCCAGATCTCTTGTTAAGAAGAGCCCAGTACTAGAGTTAATTGGTTAGTCTCTAAGGTACCACTAGTACTCCTTTTCTTAATGGGAATCAGATTTCACATGTCTAATGGAAGACAACACGCAGGAAAGGCAAGACCACTGTAGCAGAAGAATATAAGAAGTTATCTTTACGCCTTATACCAGAAGGTAGCAAGTTAAAGAATCATGATCATTAATCTCATTTAAGTTACAGTCCAGTTTTTCAGAAACTACGAGCTATTTTGGGTACCCAGTCAGACACCTTAAAACACTTGACTTTTAGAAATTGCTGGGCACCCACCAAAAAACAAATGCACACAACAAGACACCCACCACCACAACATATGCGTTAAAGGTGTCCTCAGTCAGGTAACCAGAGTCACTACCTTCCCTACTTTTGAAAATGTTAGCCTGTAGCTTTGTTCAGCAAGAAGAAAGTTATAGCAATGCAGGAGAGGGACTGGAGGAAAGAAGAAGCAGCAGCAGCTTTAAGTTGGGTGTTTTTAACAAAGTTCAGAGTTCTGACAGCAATTTAAAAAAAAAAGAAGTCAAGTTTTAGGAAGTTTTCATTGAGCTCTAGGGTTACTAGCTTGGAGCCCATTATCACGTTAAAGTCCTAGAGAACTATGACTGAGCAGGTCATTTAACCAAAGAGACTACCACTAAAAATTGATGTTATACATTAGAAAACAAACCCTTTGTACAGTGGCAGCAAAGTATACTCCTCACACTGGTCCACGAGTGCCTGGAGAAAGCCACTGCTTAACTAAACACATAAGACACCCACCCCTGCTTCTGGATCACTTATATTAAGTCTAAAAGAAAAGGAGTACTTGTGGCACCTTAGAGACTAACCAATTTATTTGAGCATGAGCTTTCGTGAGCCACAGCTCACTTCCTCATGAGCTCACGAAAGCTCATGCTCAAATAAATTGGTTAGTCTCTAAGGTGCCACAAGTACTCCTTTTCTTTTTGCGAATACAGACTAACACGGCTGTTCCTCTGAAACCTATATTAAGTCTGTGCTTCTTGGCAAGATTAGCAGGGCTTTCTCATTGGTGAAGCCACACCAATTAGTTAGCACCTCCAAGACTATCAGCAGCCAGCAATGAGCTTTAAAGGCTTTGATACTGCTGCTCCTTCCTCACCCCTTACAAGGAAGGTGCTAAGTGACGAAAGGAAACTCCTTTCATCAGGAGGTAGAAGGCTTGTCAAATGAGAAACTATTGCAGCACATTGACAAATAGATCCCGTGCAACCTTCGCCAAGCAAGTGAGAATGACTGATTGACAAGCACCTCAGTTATAGCAAATACATTGGCTTCTCAGTCATGCTTAATTCCAGCCCATTCATGTTCACAGGGATTCTTTTATTTATTTGTTTTTTTTTAACGAACCTTACAATTCTGCAGAGATTTAAGGGCAGGTGCCTGGCTCCAAGACACTCCTGCTCTGTGGCTGTCTGCATGGCCTTTGTCCCCGCTGCTGCAGGGCTTTAGGAATCCCTTCTCCCAGCCTGACCAGTGTTTGAAATCTCTTTTTTTCGTATTTTTTCATGCTTTGTGTGTAGATAATAAGATCTTCTACACTTTCCACAGTATGCATCCGATGAAGTG